TGTTAACCCTGCAGAGGCCAGAGGCCGCGGCTCGGAAGAACGCACACCGAGAAAGGCTGTTCATCTTTGGGCCGAAGCCCAAGTCCACTGTGTATATTCCCACACAAACACAAATAGAAGTTACATCTACATTTATGCTGTTTGATGCTGTATTTTTAATTGCACATACTCATAGGCACATAGTAATATATATGTTCTGAACCAAATCTTTATTCTAATTTAAGATTGTCCCGTGCTTTAAATGACCTTGACAAAATTCAGGAGGCAAAAAGAAATCTCAAGACCTGGGGCTCTAAAGCTATTTTAGAATTAACTCTGAATAATTGTCCCACAATATGAGTTTCCTGATTAATTGCTTAAGATAAGGTCTCCTTTTCGTTGTGGCCTCCAGTGGCTCCCTCTCGTTCCCATAATCACTTTTGTCTCATTCTTCTAAACCCTGGAAGGCTAAGAGAAAAATCAGAGATATACCAATTCCATTACTTGAGGATTAGCTAAGAGATAACCCTGTGTATTCCATTACTGACCATTATTTGAGTAATTATTCAATAACTAGAGTACATTTGAAAGATGCACTAATTGTTTTCTGAGGCTCACTCTGGCTTTATATCAAAAAAAGTTAAAAATGTTACATCCTTTAACACTGCAATTCTACATCTGGGTTACATGAGAAAATGTAGTAACTTTTACCATATTTTATTTTTCTTTGATTTTTCTCCCCCCTAAGGAAAGGTAAAAGCTTAAAAACAATAGTTAAAGATCTTACCGACTAACTAGAAAATTAGGACTCTATTTTTGACCAGATTTGTGTAAGAGTCAAATTTCTGCATAATTTAGATAGAAAACTGGCAGGGGTGGCTGTTCCATCTAATTTCTGCAAAATTAGTATTCAGCTACCTGAGATTTTGGCAGTATTCCAGCATGTTTATCCAAGGCAGTAAGTAGAGAGAAATAAAAGAAAATTGACAATCATGCCTAAACAAGTTAGTTTCTCTACCTCTACTCCACTTCCTGCAACACACTCTCTCTCTCTAAGCAATGAGTGAATAATTTCAAAAGTACACTTCATAAATGGATTCATGGGTTTGCTTTCTTCTTCTTATGCGTATCAACTGCAGATAGAACAAGAAAAGTCCCTCCTTTTTCAACATACAGAGAACCCTAGGATGATAAGCTGACTCAAACTTGGCCTACTAGAGAGTAATGATTTTTTTTTAAAAAAGACTCTTATCCTCCAAATAAAGTAAAGCAGTTAAATCAGTTATTGACTATCTGTGCTCACAGATGGAAATGACAGTGATGATACTTCTAAATTCATTCATAATTGCTTCACAATACTCCCTTAAAAAGCTGAAAATACACATAACCAGTATTTTCTTACTTAGCTCCTCCTAGAACTGTGTTTAGCTGGCACTAAAGGAAAAGCCAAGAGGCACAAGTCATGCACTTAATATTTATTGAGCAACGATTACTTAGTATGTCTTGAGCTTAGACAAAACCAAAGAGTATTTATTGTTCAAGCTCATATCAACTTCCTATCTAGCAGTGTCCAAGTTTGGTGGAAACAGGTGGGAAAAAACAGACACCGAAGCATGGTGTATGGTTCGGAAGCCAGGGAGAAAATGCCAGCGAGAAAGGGGCTTCCACTCACTCAGTAACATTTGCGGGGTGCTAGGCCCAAAGAACTCAGATATGAAAAGGCCTTGAAAATGTTTCTACACAAGAAATTTACAAATCAGAAACAAATGTATCAACTAATATGTGACTGAAGTAATAAGGAGTAAGCACAGTAAAAAGTTATCTTAGAAATAAATTGTAAAAGCAGCACAACCTACCAGAAAAATAAACCACATAATGTAATTTTAGATTATCCAGTAGCCATGCTGAAATACTAAGAAACAGGTGAAACTTATTCAATAATATATTAACTCAATACACCAACAATATTACTTCAACATGTAATCAATATAAAAATAATTAGAGATTTACTTTCTTTTCATAGTAAGCTTCTGAAATCTGAGGTGTGTTCATACTTACAGTGTATGCAAAATTCTGAGTTTTGAAAATACTTGATTTATATGTAGGTTTCATAAAATTTATAGTTGAGAAAAGTAATCCACATACCCAAGATGTTCCAAATATACTTAAAAGTTTTTCAACAATAAGTACATTGTTCGTTTTAAATTTAAATTTATAATATAAGAAAGAAGAAATAACGTGAAGACCTTGGTGGCTTGGAGGAGCACTTTTCAAGCACATCAGACGCACTGTGGCTCCTGGCTGCCATGCAGGAGCGCAGGTCAGGGCCTCCATCAGGACAACTTAGGCTAGAGACGTGGAGAAGACTTGGAGGCAGGAACAAGAAATCATCAAAAAGCCAATGAAAGACTGGATGCAACTGAGAGAAGAGGGCAGCAGCAGTAGCAGCAACAGGTGCAGAAAAAGTATACAAAGGGGAGAAGATCAAGAGATAATGAACACTTATTCACTGTCTATGGTCTACTAGTCACCAGCAACAAAATGCTAGTGACAGGGTGATTCAGAAACGTGGTATTCTAGAACCCTAATCTATGGTTCCCAAATAGCAGTGTCTTAGGCTTCAAGCAGGTATCATTTTTTGTTTTGTGAGGCAGTGTCTCATTATGTAGTACAGATGAGCCTCAAACTCACAGCAATCCTCCCGCCTCAGCCTCCTGAATGCTGGGAGTACAGGTGTGCGCCACCACGCCCCGCAGGAGTGAGTTTTAAATCCTCTCTGCTCATGTGCCCACTTCTCAGATGAGCCAACTTTGCTGTGTTCTCCTTTTGGCTGACAGAAAGCAGCGGCTAAGTATGTGGCTTGGGAGTCGCACGGTGTGACCATTCAAGTCATGCCTTCACCACGTGATGGCTGTGCAAACCTGGGGTGCTCCCTCAGCCTCATCTGTAAAAATGGGTGTGATGGTTTAGCTGTACAATGTCCCTCCAAGTCTCTTGCATTCCGAGGTAGGCCATTTAAGAGGACTGCAGCATGAGTGATGGATCCACTTGAGTCCAGGGCTACACTGGCTGTGAGTGGGTGGGGACTGGCGGGGAAAGGTGTCGCTGGGCTGGGCCTTTGGAGGGCGCCCCCCTCCTCTCTCCGCTTGCTGGCTGCCACGGGGAGCGGCGTCCCTCTGCCCTGCTCTTCCCCCCGCTTCTGCCTGGGAGCTGCACAGAGTGCCCAGCAGGCGCACCGGGCCACCAGGAATGGCGGCACCTGGCTCACCTGAACGAGCAAGTTCACAATAGCCGATGACTCGGGAAGCAACTTCTGGGGAGCCAACCAAAGTGAACACCAAGAGCCAGGGGTGGTGGTGCACGCCTGGAATCCCAGCACTTCCGAAGCTGAAGGACTACTCGGAGTTTAAGGCCAGCCTGAAGTACACAGTGAAAGCCTATCTTCAAAAAAAAAAGAGAAGCTGAGTGGTCAACAGCTGAGGAGAGAGAACGACTACACGGGAACCTCACAGTGCAAGTGTGATAGGCGGTCAAATTCTCATGAAGAACCTAAGCTCCACACAGGCAACCCAAGGCTGGTTCTTCTTCTTCATTTTTCCTGCGGGGATGGGGGCGTTGTTCGAGACAGGGCCTCACTACATAGTTCAGCTGGCCTTGAGCTCACTATTTAACCCAGGCTGGCCTTGAACTCCTGCTGATCCTCCTACCTCAGCTTCTCAAGTGCTGGGATTACAGGTGTTTGCCACTACATCTGGTGACCCAAGGCTGATTCTGCCTGCAAATGTGATTCTTTTTTTCCTTTAGTCTATATGATATTTTTAAATATTTTGAATTAGCTACCAAGAATCCAGACACTATTAAAAAAACTTAAAAATCTAAATTTGTATTAAAACGTGAGATCTAGAGCCCTATGCCTACATTTCCACGAGGTTCTGATGAGCGGCTGCTCACATGCACTTCACTCTCACCTTATCCCCGAACTTTTCCTGGGGTCTGCGTTTGCAACCCCCACGGGACAGTGGGAACCAGACCTACCCAGGGCTCCCTCAGTCAGCAGAGACCTGGTGCTTGGTTGGATTCAGCAAAGTCTTGTCTAGGAAACGCCAGCAATGTTGCCTTTTTAGAAAAGCAAAGCTTAGTGTTTTACAGGGACATCAGCAAGAACGTGTTACGTACTGTTACTACATGAAGCAGTATCATATAAATATGCAAATACATTTAAAAATGTTTTGACTGAAAATAATATAATTGTCAGGTGAAAAAAAACCCCTGGAGCTACTACAGATAAGCCCTATAAATACGCCCATGAAATGCAATTGAAGCAGATGGGTTAAAATTACTTGATAAAATATTTACCTTAAGTGTCTTTTCAGAGAAGTAGTATTTTTATACTCATTCTATATGGGAAGCCCTACTAAAAACTACAAAAGGGAATTTATACATTGTCAGAGGACTGCCAGATTGGTTCTCAAAGAGAAATTTCTTCTAAATCACAGTAATATGAACATAACTAATAGAACATTATAGAACTTAATAAAAATGTCAAACTGTCAGCTCTTGAAATACAACTGAAGTGGAACCATACGATATTCCATTTGTGAAGCAAGAAACTGACCTCAGAACAAATATTCCTGACTCCTTGAAGTTGTATTAAATTTGACACTTTGGGGGGAAATGACAAGTAACTGAAATAGACCTATTAGAATCAAAATGCTCCAAAGTAATATTGTACTTAATGTAAGAAAGTAGGAACACAGTGCCAGGCTCAGCACACGGCTGCCTGTCCCCTCTGCGGCTTGACGTGTGTCCAGTGTTCCCACGACATCCATGACCGTAAGAACCCAGCTGCTTCATCCAACCGCTTGCTTTCCCTCAGCACTGCCGTCCGGCTCAATTAAACACGTCCTGTACCTGGCGATGGCTTGAGAACGCGCTGCTTTCCAGGCCTAATGGAAACCAATTGGAGGAAAGGTATTTTGCAGCACCTTGCACATCTGCAGCAGGTAGGCTCCCCGGGACACTCAGAAGACAACGAGACAACGGCGGCATCGAATCAGATGAGAGAGACTTTGTGTCGTCAAGTTGTTCAAAGAGCACCTTACCCTGAGCACTCACCTCACTGACCCCTCGGCGCTTTCCTAGCTGGCCTGCCCAGCACTCACCTGAAGTGTCTCCCCAGGGCTCCTTCTAATGTCCCCACCACTAACTACAGTCTCCACCCAGCTCCCCTCATCCAGCAGTGACCGCTGTTCACCTTTCTCTTTCTTGACATTCTCTCCTATTATTTCGCTCAAAGTTCAATTCAGCAAATATTCAATGTATGGATACTCAATGCCAAGCAGTAAAAGGAGTAAGACAGAGAAGAAAGACATTCCACTTGTCAGTGAGCTCTGTCTAACAGACAAAACCTGGGCCACTCTGCAAGATCGAGCCTCCTCCAGGACTGTACTCTGATGGGCATTTCTCAGTGACTCCTGTTCTGCCTACTGAACTACGGAAGGGTTTCTCACTGCCAGCCGACACTTTTAGTTCTCTACAGTACAGTGTTAACTGACTTTTACTTTTCTTTCCCTGTCTTCCCCTCATTCTAGCAGCACTAGACCATTTACTTCAACAACTCATGAGCTATGTACTTCTGTGACTCCAGTTATATTATCCCTTGAGGAATGCTTTTCTATATATACCTGCTCACCAAACTCTTATTTATTTTATAAGTATCCCAAATAATACTCCCTTCATGAAACTCTGACCTCAGTCAGCTCTGAGCTTCCCAGTTCCCAAATCCCCACACTAGCTCCTAACTTTATGGGACTACGTACACTCACTGTGCTCCATATACAGTTACTTGACTCATCAATGACTAGGAAACTGCAAGGCTGTCAAAAGCATGGACTGGGGCTGGAGATTTAGCTCAGCGGCACAGCACCTGCCTGACAAGCGCAAGGCTGTGAGTTCGATTCCTGGTACCAGGAAAAAAAAAAAAAAAACAAGGAACGAAGCCCAAAACAATTTTTTTTCTAGACCTTTCAACTAACACCTATAAATATTCATAGGATAGTGGTTATATGAACAGTATCATGTTGAAAATATAGCGGGTGCTCAGATACCTTTTAGATTTAATTGAATTCAGGCCAAATCAGATGTTAGTCTCTTGATGAGAGATCCGTGAGAAGCAGATGTTTTCAGACTGTGTACATCTACAGGGTCTGTATTCTACGCTATGACCTGACAGTCTGGCTGAATGCAGAGTTTCAGGTTGAAATGATATCATTCAAGATTCTGCTGATATGTACCACTGTCTTCTTTCACTCTTGTTCTTTCCTTCTGACTCCCTTGTGAACCGCAGCCCTTTGTATGTGAGCCTGAAGCACATATAATTTTCTCAAGGTCTGATATCCTCTAATTTCACAACAGTGTGCCCTGGTGTGAGTTTGTACTAATTACAAGAAATTCTTAGGCTCTTTTACTATGGAGATGTATATCCTTTAGTTCTGAGGAATTTTCTTGTATTATTCTTTGATAATTTCATTTCCTTTGGTTTCACTGTATACTCTTTTCCAGGAGATCCTTTTATGTGGGCATAGGACCTCATGAATTAACTCTGTATCTTCTACCTTCTATTTTTCTATTGTTCCTCACTTTATCTAACCTCAGATTTCCTTAACTTTACCTTAAAATTCCTCTGTAGAACTTTTTCTTTTGTTTATTACATCTTTAATTTTCAACAACTTGGTCTTGGTCCTTGCGTCTTCCTGTCACAGTTTTTGCTCTTATCTCTCTGGAGCCTTGTGTGTGTGTGTGTGTGTGTGTGTGTGTGTGTGTGTGTGTGTATCATTTTCTTCTAGTCCCCATATTTCTCTATCTGAAGGTCTGGTTTTTGCTTTTAATCCTGGATACTTCTCATTTCTGGTGGGTACTGGCGATTTAAGAGGAAGTCACTGGATGCTCTTTGTGAGATGACTCAGCCTCTGCTGACTAATGGACTTCACTGTAAGATAATCTAGCTCTCAAATGTTATCATCAAATAATATTTTCCTTGAGACAGCTCAGTTTTCTCAGAGCAGAATCATCCAATTTCCTGCACAGCAGGAGCCTGACGGAGAATGGGAAGGCCAAGTCCCACCTCTCAGTATGTGGACTTGCACCTCAGCTCCATTTTTTGTAGTGGGTCTGGACTGGGTTTCAGTTCTTGAATTCTTCCCATAAACAAACACAAACACATCTCTGCGCCCCTGCTTTCTGGGGCTCCCAATGCCTTCAACTCCCGAACCTTTTTGGGGGGCCAGTAAGCTTAGTACTTTACTGGCAGATGTATGCTGGCAGATTTCAGCTGTTACTCTGCTAAGGCTGTTACCACTTTCTATCTCTTCTCTTTTTCTTTGGTTCTTATGGCATCATACTTTTGTTGTTGTTGTTGAACCCAGACCTTCACCTCCTTCTCTCTCCTTCCCTCTGCCCCTTCTTTTTTTTTTTTGGAGACAGGGTTTGCTCAGTTGCTAAACTGTCCAGGCTGGGCTCAAACTTGCAAGCCTACTGACACAGCCTCCCAAAATATTGTGCTCACAGAGGTGCGCCGCCACACGCAGCGATACATTTTAAACTACTTCCTTCTGCTGTGGTGGGGTTTAGGAAGATGCACAAACCAGTGTGTGGGTTCAGTCCATTACGTTTAACCAGAAACCTCAGCTCCTTCAGGACTTAACTCCACCGTTCTGAGGTTTGGTTACTGATCAACCAGCAGGCAGCCTCTTTCACCTCTTAGCACGCGGCAGTTTTTGCTCCTTCTCTCGAGTCCAGTAACACTGCTCCTTCTCAATCCCGATCTTCACTTCTTCCCTCTTCTTATCTTAGGGTCACACCCTCTGATTCCTGTGAAGCAACCTGACCTGAACAACCCAGTCATCGCTTCTCCGTACAGGAAGGTCACACTCAGTCTTCCTGTCTGGCCCCTGCCCTCTCAGTCACCTGGAGATCTATGTTTTCACTCGTCCCCACTCACCACCTCTATCCAGCCACTAGCAGCGGTTACTAGTCTTCCCGTTAGGAAAATCTCCGTAAATATAATTTTCTGTTATTCTATCTGCTACCTTACACTAAGCTCTCATAATCAAATTACCCTTGAACTGTAACAGTGTGATAAGTGTAACAAATTTACTTGCACACCAAGCTGTGTGCAGTGGATCCCACATCCTGTTAACACTCCCCTTAGTCACAACACCCCTTTCCCTCCGTAACCATACAAAACTCATCAGTGCTCCCCAATGCCTGTACTTAGTGATTTGTAAATCCTAGGAATCTTCAGTAAACATTTCACAGATGATTTAACTTTCTTAGAGAACCTGTTTACTGTTTTATATTATAGGTCTCTAAATCTTATTTTCTTCAGAAACTGTTTTACCACTAAAAACATTCAAAGCTAACGTGTAAATATCTTGTCCTGGCAGCTAAAGCACTGAATGAGTTCACCTCCACCTACCAAATGATGCCTAACTGCTGTATTTTCTAGGTAAGCGAGGCTACCACCTGCACTGCTGCCCCAGAGTCAGACGGGGGTTAAATGTAAACTGTGTCCTTCTAAGCTGTGCAACCTTCAGTGAGCTTCCTGGCCTCATACCTCGGCTGACCCATCTATAAGGCGGGTGAAAAGAACACCGTTTCCTTAGCGAAGAGCACACTCACGCGTGGGAAAGTGGTAAGAGGTCCCTGGCCAGAACCACGGTGTCTCATGCACGCTACTCTCTCCTGTGCCGACTTCATCACCCAAAGCAGAGCTCAATCAAAAGAATGAGAAGACAAGTCAGAGAATGGGCTTGTGAAAAACAACAGCAAAAGACATAATGACAAATAACTGCTCCCCCAAATACACAAAGAACTTTAAAAACTCAAGAGTAAGAAAATAATCCAATTTTTAAAAAGGGGAAAGGACCTAAACAGACACCTCACCAAAGACCCTGCCCTGCACACGGACGGCAAATAAGCACTGGAAAGATGCTCCGCTCCACATGGCCTTAGACAGCTGCGAATCAAAACAATGGGCCACATCGCACGTGTGTCAGGACGACCAACCTCAGGAGCACTGACAGCACTAAAAGAAGAAGGATGCAGAGCACATTTCATCTGCTGCTGGTAAGAATGTGAAACGCACGGACACTGTGGAAGACAGTTTAGCAGTTCCCAACAACACTGAACGCTCTTACCACAGATTCTGGCAATCATACTTCCGGTATTTTCCCAAATGAGGTGAGAACTTGTGTCCATGCAAAACCTTTTCAAGGATGTTTACAGCAGCTCCACTTACGACTGCCAAATCTTGGGATCAAGATGTCCTTCGAGAGTGGAGGGATATTATTCAAGCAGTGGAATACTACTCAGCATTGAAAATAAGTGAGTTAGAGCTGGGGTGTCCCAGTGGCAGAGCACTTGCCTAGCAGGTACCATCCTCAGCACTGCCTAATTTAAATATATTAACACATAAGTGATCTATTGAGAGATAAAAGGGGACAGAGGCGTAAATACCTGAGAAACTATCATACCTGTGTTTCTAATCATGTGACCGTCTGGAAGAGGTACAACTATGAAACGTTTTACTTTTTTAATTCAGTGGATGCTACAGGTTGGAGAGAGGTGGGGATGAAGAGGGAGAGCGAAGAGTACCTTAAGGGCAGTGAAGTTAACTGCGCACGACCCCGTAAGGGCAGACATGGGCCATTATGTGTTTGTCGAATTCATGGATCTCTTGCCATAGGGAAGAGGCCCAGGGGGAACAGCATGAGGGCGGAGCAAGAGAGGAAGATGAGCAAAGCAAAGATAGGCCATGCACAGGAACCTAGTAACTCAATTACTGTAAGCACTATATGCCACAACATGGGCTGAGACTAACAAGACCAACACAAACGAAAAACGGGACAGGGGAACTGCGGGAGGTAGGAGGGGAGGGGAGAGGAGGGAAGAGAATTTTAAAAACAAAACAAAACAAAAAGCAAGCTGTAGTGGGTATACGTAACCACTCCCCAAGATGACTGTAAGCCACATGAACCACAAACATGTACTAAT